CATTGATTCAGCCAGAGTCCGGTCCTGTTTGCCTATTTGGTACCGAGTATCAGAAGAAGATTTGCTGGGAATTTCTGGTGGCTGGTTCCGAACAAGGCATTGAAGCTGGACAAGTTGGTCTAAGATTAATCACTAAAGGTGACAGACAATCGACTGTCACAAAGGAGTGGAGCATAAGTGCAACCAGCATTGCTGATGGAAGGTCTGTGTCTATTGTTTTGAGAACTAGACCAAGCAGCTTCTCCCTTTTTGCTTTTGCTATTGTCTTGTGAACCAGACTGAGCAGCCTCTCTCTCTTTCATTCTACTTGAGATTCTAAGTTTTATGCTTTCAACTGCCTTGTCTTGCGTGTTTTGGCGAATAGTCTTTTGGTACAGAAGAATCTATTTAGTAATTTTAACTTTTATTTGCAGGTGGCATATTGTAACTATGACCATTGATGTTGATTTGGGAGAAGCAACCTGCTATTTAGATGGTGGGTTTGATGGCTACCAGACTGGGTTGCCCTTAAACGTGGGCGATAACATTTGGGAGCAAGGGACAGAAATGTGGGTTGGTGTTAGACCCCCCACAGACATTGACATATTTGGGAGATCAGATAGTGAAGGAGCTGAGTCCAAGATGCACATTATGGATGTGTTTCTCTGGGGAAGGAGCTTAACAGAAGATGAAATTGCTTCTCTCCATGCAGCTATGAGCTCCACAGACTTTAATATGCTCGACTTCACAGAAGATAATTGGGAGTGGGCGGATTCACCGTCTAGAGTATGCTCTGTTTTCCCTATTAAGAAGATATGAGAGGTAATCTACCATAGCTGAACCTATTGACTAATGGATGCCTTATTCGTTTTACTCAGGTTGATGAGTGGGATAGTGACCCTGCGGACGTAGATCTGTACGATAGGGATGATGTGGATTGGGATGGACAGTATTCAAGCGGAAGAAAGAGAAGATTGGAGCGTGATGGGGTAGTACTTGATGTGGATTCTTTCACAAGGAAGTTTAGGAGACCTCGTACGGAAACATGCGAGGAAATCAACCAACGGATGCTTTCAGTGGAGTTGGCTGTTAAAGAAGCTCTCTCTGCAAGGGGAGAAATGCATTTTACCGATGAGGAGTTTCCTCCAAACGATGAGTCCTTGTATGTGGATCCAAAGAATCCACCTTCAAAACTACAGGTACGTTTTCCGACTGGCTATCTGATTTTAAGAGCTTATAATCAATGCCATATTTTCTTCATAATCGTTTTTTCTTAGGTTGTTTCTGAGTGGATGAGGCCTGTAGAGTTGTTAAAAGAGGGCAGAATAGATTCTCAGCCATGCTTATTTTCCGAGGCCGCCAATCCGTCTGATGTTTGTCAGGTTTGTTTCTGAGAAACTACTTAAATACTTGTCCATTTGGTTTGTCCTTGCAAAAGGAACGATCATGCTCATCTTTTGAATCCACCAATATTGAGCATTTAATCTCTTCATTTTCTTTGGTTCTGATCTTACTATAACCTTTTAACAAGATCCATGCCTATGTAATAAAATAAAACAGGGACGATTGGGTGATTGTTGGTTCCTAAGTGCTGTCGCTGTCTTAACCGAGGCTTCCAAAATTTCTGAAGTGATTATTACTCCACGGTATAACGAAGAAGGGATCTATACAGTTCGCTTCTGTATTCAGGTGATTTTTTTTATTATTATCATTTGGTGCTCATTCATGAGAGGTAACTTGGCTTCACTGAAATAATTTGCTACTGTAGTAAGCATAGCTTCACCATGGTTGGCCTTAAATTCTTCTATTGTTTCTAACTTATTCATGTTCCTAATCTTCGAATATCAGTTTGATACAAGACGAATAATCAATAAAATCTTCATGAGCCTGCATCAAGTGTGCAAAGAAAACATTGTCCATAAAACTTTACACAAAACTCATTTCTGTCTAACCACACCACGTAAAACTTGTGACTGAGTTTAGCCAAATTACTATTGTCCTGTCTTTGAACGAACGATAAAGGATGGCAGAGAGAAGAGATTTGTCTCAGTAGTCGAAGACAAAAGACCAACCAGAAGAGGGAAACATGTTTCTGAATTTAGTAACAGAGTATCAGTTAACTAGCAGATTCTAACTTGAACTAAATCCGTGTTGCTTATTTTTGTAATTTCGATGTATTGTGATTAATATTTCACTTATTGTGTTCATCATTCTCTCTTTATCTAGAGTGAGTGGGTTCCTGTGGTTGTTGATGATTGGATTCCATGTGAATCACCGGGGAAACCAGCATTTGCTACTAGTAGGAAAGGTAATGAGCTCTGGGTGTCCATGTTGGAGAAGGCATATGCTAAATTACATGGGTCTTACGAAGCGTTGGAGGGCGGTCTAGTTCAGGATGCTCTTGTGGATCTTACTGGAGGTGCCGGTGAGGAGATTGACATGAGGAGTGCCCAGGCTCAGATTGATTTAGCTAGTGGTCGGCTATGGTCTCAATTGTTGCGCTTTAAACAAGAAGGTTTTTTACTTGGGGCTGGCAGTCCATCAGGTTCAGATGTGCATATTTCCTCTAGCGGCATTGTGCAAGGACACGCCTATTCTTTGCTACAGGTAAGTTGTTTCTACCTGTGAATCAACTACTCGAATATCACGATCAAGAATGTCCAACGTTTACTGAATTTTCAGGTAAGAGAGGTCGATGGCCACAAGCTTATTCAAATTCGAAATCCATGGGCTAACGAAGTTGAGTGGAATGGCCCATGGGCTGATACTTCACCTGAATGGACTGATAGGATGAAGCACAAGCTAAAGCATATTCCACAGGTCTGTACTTACATATTGACTGCTGGTTGGACGTGCGATGAAAAATGGACGTTAAAATTTAAAATGTGTGGTCTCAACATGCTAATCATCTGAGACTTGAAATTGTAAACTAAAGCATGAGTAAAACGTGTGATCTCTGATTCTCTAGGTAATCATACCAGACTTGATTTATATGTTTTGTATGTGTTTTGCAGTCAAAAGATGGAATATTCTGGATGTCATGGCAAGATTTTCAGATACACTTTCGATCAATATATGTTTGTCGAATCTACCCTCCAGAGATGCGCTACTCCGTGCATGGCCAATGGAGAGGTTATAGTGCTGGTGGCTGTCAAGACTATGATACATGGCATCAAAATCCACAATTTCGATTGAGGGCTTCGGGGCCAGATGCATCATACCCTGTACATGTATTCATAACCTTAACCCAGGTATTCTCCTTTACTTGACTAACAAAATAACTTTTTCGTGGTGGATAAAATTGACTTAAGAATTTTACATTTGAAGGGGGTGAGCTTCTCGAGGACGGCTGCTGGTTTCAGGAACTATCAATCAAGTCATGATTCAATGATGTTCTACATTGGAATGAGAATCTTGAAAACACGTGGACGTCGAGCAGCTTACAACATTTACCTGCACGAATCCGTTGGGGGCACAGACTATGTCAATTCCCGTGAAATATCATGCGAGATGGTTCTGGAACCTGATCCGAAGGGCTACACAATTGTGCCTACAACGATACACCCAGGCGAAGAAGCACCATTTGTCCTGTCTGTCTTCACAAAAGCGTCGGTAACCTTGGATGTCTTATAGCATACATGATCGTCTCTTCAGCTGGTTTTATCACACGAGGTGAGATGCCTGCGCATCATCAACATTTCAAGTAGCTTGGGCTGGCGGTCTGTTTTCTGCTTCAAGGGTTTCATTGACCTATTTATCATGGCGTAATCACTTGGTAAACTTTCTTTCCTTAATTATATACTTTTCCCCTCTTGTCTGTATATGTCAGGAAGACTCTAATGTGATTTTTATGCTTCTTATAAAGTAGGCTTCAGAGAAAATGAGCTGTTAAGGTAGGTAAAAGGCTGCTGAGAGGGTGTCATGCGTGGGGCTAATGGGTTTTAAGGGTTTTTAGGCATTATAAATCGAGTATACTTTTACAAAACTGGTGTCATCCCACCACTACTATGGGGCACACACACACCATGTTACATGTTACCACGAAGAACGCGGTCATGGCAACAATGGTGCTTGCCATGGTCAGTGCACATAGTTAGGAACCTTTGCCCTAGGCTTGAAAAAACATGCCCCCCTGAATATGGTACATTTATTATTTCTTGCTGATGGCATAAGAACTCCCATAGGATGGTTGAAACTAAATTGAGTCTATTTTCTCAGGTTGCGATGTTTATCCTCAGCCTCTGAGGGGCAGCCCTTCTGGGGGTCAGCAATTTGGGGGATACGTCGCTCTCGTCGTCGCTAGAAGCATTAGACATAAGGTCCTGAATGAAGCCTGCTACGCCTTTTTACTGATTTTACATGGGAAGAAGATGCTAAATCAAGGGTGCATAATAGTAAGTATTCAAGCTTGTATATAGGTAGCTTTTGTATTGTAAAATTCTTTCATGATGATTTTTCCCCTTGGGAGGAGGAGGAGCGAAAGTAATGGGAAACAGAACTTAACAGAGCTAATCAGTTTGGGGCCTCCTATAGAGAAAGCAACGTAGCTGGGGTATTCTTATGCTTCGTGCTGCAGTTTTGGAAGCTTTAACGGTCGTAACATCGAGTTCAATTGTACAAAAATTATTTCTCTCAATATAATCTTTTATTTCATATTCGAGTCTCGAATCGTTATATTTCAGTTTGAACTTGATTATCGTTAACCCGTCTTTCACACTTGTTGCCTTCTTGCTTGGGCTCGTGCTCTCGTTACTCACTTGCACTCTCCCTCACTCACTTCTTATCCTCGTTGCCATCGTTTCCATTCATCGTCATGGCCCAAAAACATGAACTTCCACAAGCATTTCAAACATGAGACTAGTTTAGGAAAGAAGCAATGAAGTCAAGAGTGGTTAATACCGAAACCTATGCAGACAAGCCCTTTAGAAAACAAGCTAAAATTGTTGTGATAAGCATATTAGTCTTAAGGAAGAAGCAACCAATGACTTGAAAAGCAAGAAACACATAAAATTACAAAGGTCAGAATCCAAAAAGTAATGATTTCTAGAATTAAATTTACTGAATTAGCCAATTACCAAACAAATAGCACTACAAGAAATTGGGTGACTTACAATAATATCATCTCAGTTCTGAAAAATGGGCTATCAATTTCACCAAAATATGGCTACCAAACAAGAGGTTATGTTATTCAATCCCATATGTCTTTCTATCTGTGTCTCTCATTCTGAGTCGCTATCCATACTTCTCATTGCCTTCAATCCTCTGGGTCTCTGCATCCCAATATCATATTCTCAGCTCAACTTGTTCTTATTAGAAATTAAAACAGAACAAAAGGGTATGGGATGGATTGATCATACTTTGTTGTCAGCTTTCAGATTCACACACAACAGTTCAGTGAATGTTTTACATTAAGGAGTTGTATTTGTTTACCTTTTTTGAGGTCTTCTTTTCCCTAACCTCATACCTCTCTTGGCACAGGTCCGATAGCCACGAGCCCGGCATCACCAGCTGCATCCACCACACACAGGGATAAGGGAGTTAGCTAATATATTCAAAAGGATTCCTCGGTCTGACCCGGGATTGCGTTCTTTTCGTCCTTGGCTCTATCGAGCACGATCGAATCTAGAACACTTACAACTAAGCTTTTCTGTAGTAACTTGGCTCTCTTCTTAGGCCTTTGAGGAAGTTTACACCCTTTCATAGCCATGAAATCTTCTTCCTTCTCTTTGCTAGATAGAGAAATGTAGAGCCTTGGCCACACAAACCCTTTTCGGTCATTCCCTGTCGTGTGATCCATTGAGGCTTTTTCATCCACGCCCATTGAACCCCTCGTCGTATAGTATCGATCTTCCTTCTCGAGTGATGTTACGGATGTTCTTTGATTGTTAGTTGGTGAAACAATGTTCCTGTCACCAAACATTACAAAATTAGCACCATTAATAGCCTACATGATTCTCTAAAGATTGCTTAAGATATACATAAGGATCTAACAACATACAACCAGGAGTCTCTAAAATCAAATTATTGCATTCAAATAGAAAGATTCATCATCAAATTCACTAAAAAGGGTGGAAAATCTTGCATTAAGATGTTCAAGAACTAACACATGATCTTGTTTTAAGCCGTCCAAACACAAAAACTTGAGAGATTAAAGAATAGAGTAGAATTTACATGAACTTCTTCCTGGTTTCTTACTTGTTAAGGCGATGTGTTTGGTGCGCTGATGAAGGTTTCTCATTAGCTGTAAGAACTCGGCGATCCCCTTTGGAAGAAACTTTCTTCTTCCCTAAACAATCGGATTTACTACTAATTCTTTGTGGTTCCTTAACCTTCATGTATCTCATCCTCTTCCTATTCCCCCACTGCAACACAAAATCTGTCTCACCAGATTTATTGCTTTTCTGAGCTATTTCTTCGTTTTCCATATCTCTGCAACAAAAATCACATCCACCCATTTACTTTTTTCTACAAACAAACACTTCAAAATCAAACAAAACCCCATAGAAACAAACCTCAAGATCCAAGCCAAAAACTCAATAGATCACTAAACACGATTTCCCCCTAATAAACCCTGCGATCAATGGAATAAAAACCATTACCCTCCTGCAATTTCCACTACAAACCCATGATTTTTTACCAGACAAAGATGCAATAATCAAGTACTCCAAGTTGAAAAGAAACAGCCATTACCAGATTCAGAGTTTCTTCCACAGAAATTTAAACAGAACAAAGAATTAGACAGGAAATTAAAATTACATTCGAAATCCATCAAAAAAGCTTCTCCAACGACACCATCAATCATCAACAGAGTTGCAATGGAAGAAGAAGCCCCAGTAGCCAAAGAAGCGTGGAAATGGCGAAGAAATCTTCAAAGAACAAGAACAGAAAAACGGCTAGAATGGAAGAATAGGCGTTAAAGCTTCATGGGTTACACTTAGATTTTACCATTTCAATGGAAACAAAGAAGAAAAATCGGCGCTCTTCAGTTCAGTTGCAGAGGAGAAGCTCTTTCTGTTCTTTTTCTTCCTTTCTTTCTCTCTTTGTTTGCTTCTGTGTTTTTCAGTTTCACCCTATTTCTTCTCTTCCCACTTTTCTTTTTGCACTTTTTTTAAAAAATAAAATTTGAAAATCAAATGGAAAATTGGGGAATCTTTGTGACCGTTGGATTGAATGGACGGTCAGATGGAGTTCGGGTCGACCCGAATTGAATTTACAGTGCACGTGACACCGGGGTTGATGAATTCAAACGAAATCTATTGAATTGAATTTGCTTACATTACACTAATCAGAGGAGCTGCAATCTGCTGTGGCCATATGTACTGTTCTTTTTTGTCCTTTTTAATTTATTTTTGACACGTCATCATCCTAATCCTACTTTACCTTGATTGTTGCCACGTCATCCATTTGCCTTGGTAATGGTACCAATGTTTTAAATATTTGGATTTATTCTCTTTTCTCACTCTCTCTCTCTTTTTTTTTCTTTTTTGAATAAATTTACAAACAAATGGTGAGGAAATAACATAATTTAAAGAAAAATAAAAATGATTTTAAATGAGGTTTTGTTTTGTTTTTTTTTAATTATTAATATGTGTACCTCCCATTTCAAACCTCATCTTTTCGTCAACGTTATAATGTCTAATGTTGATGTGAGATTCTACTGTTAGTCTGTGCAAGCCTCGGACTAATATGACTCGGCTTAGGCTGAGATGACTTATCCTAGTTGATGGGTCGAGTCTTATGGTCAAGATGACTTATCTTACCATAGGTGTCAGTAGCATAGTAGTATGACTCGGCTTATGGCTTAGATGACTTATCCTAGTGGATGGGTGTAACGATACACATTCCAAAGAAAAAAAAAAGTGATTTTCGGCAGGATTCACTCAGACCCCCCTTAAACTCTAGGGTCGCAGTGGCCGCCTCCTTTAGGTAGGAGCAGACGCTAGTGTACGTCGGGGAAAGGAGAGACAGACGCGCCACTAGAGACGGATGAACGACGATGCTTCCACCGGCGACAGTAGCCAAGCCCCGCGATTAGGGCTGTTGAGGCTTTCGGCCGAGGAAGATGAAGCGGGGGGCGCAGGTCAACCCTCAGCATTTTGCGAGTTCGTCTCGACTAGCATGCAGCCTGCACTTCGCAAGCCACACTCGGACACCACCACTGGGCCTCGTTTCCCTTTCGACCCAAACTAGAGGCGCACCTTAGAAACCCTACGCCGGCAGTGTTCTTCGCAGCCCGTCAGTTTCATCTCCATCGGTGGCTTCGTTCACTCTCGGCTCAGCTAGGTTCGGCTTGGCATTGCGGCTTGGCAGCTCGACATCCGAATGGTATACCGATTTCTAGGTTTTCCACCCTTCTGGAGTCATTCCCACCCTTGTTTCAACCATTTGAGGTCAGTATAACTCCATTTTGGTAAACACAACTTGCGATAGGGACATACCTTGGTAGCTAGGCATAAGAGCTAGTTGTGAAAGGGTTCTAAATGTATCATGTTATCTTATAGGAGGTAGTTAGGCGCCGAAGTTAGCATTGTGGGTGACTTCGGCTAAGGCCAAAGAGGTAAGTAACCTTACTGTTGGCGTTAGTTATGTATGTATGTTGGTGCGTGCCCGTGGCCCTTGCATGCACCATGTGTGTTGTTGATGTATGCTAGGTTATATGTTTTTTTGCAGTGAAATGCTATGTATGTCATGTTTATGTATGTGATGTTTGTGACACGGTTTGCTACCCTGTATGTATGAGCTTGATTGACATGTCATGATTGTAATGAGAACCCCGCCTGCCATGAATGTGATGACTAGTATGCTACGATATGCTTACTCGATGTTTAACCCAGTTATGTTATGAAATGCGGTGAGGGGATGGAACGTTGTATGTATAATGCCATGGAGGTAAACCTTAAGAACCTTATGCACGCTATGGTTATGTACATGGGGCACTCCTCCGTTATGCTACTGATGATATGGACGCGTACATTCAATATTGTGTTCGCCACGATATCATGCAGGCCCTCCTTTTCCGTGGCATCCAGTATTGTATGTCATACATACCCGACCAAGCCAAGCCTAGGGAGTTTGCATGCGAACTCGCCTGGTGAGCCCACAGTCACGCACGTGGGCCATGTGTGGGAAAGTATCATGCATCTACCCCCGCTCGGACAAAGCAAGGGCCTAAGGCCATGGGAAGGAATGGAAGACAGACCCCTCTCTCAGTTTCTTTCTTTTGACACTTGTGCTCAGGTATGTGTATTGTGTGAGACCGCATGTATCCTGATGTATGATTATATGCTTAACCCCAACATTGGGGAGACTTACTGGGTATTTTATATAATACTCAAGCCACGTGCTACCTATATTTTCAGGTAAGAGCAAGGCTCCCATGTACGGTTGACGGTGGATGCTGCGAAGGCCATGGAAATCTTAAGGAGGGTTTGTAGTGTCGTAGGCATCTTGTTGGATTCTTTTGGGTTCATAATTGTTGCAATTGTTCCTCTAGTTCTTTGTTGATTATTTCTAGGTTAGCCTGTCGTTATTGTTTTCCCCCATATATGAACTGCTTATAATAATGAACGTATTGTTGTTATTGATACTGTCTGTCGTGAACTCTCGTTCTGTCGTTATGCAAGTACAAGGTAACGTTGCTAATTGGGTTAGAGAAAATTAGGTGCGTTACAATGGGTCTGGTCTCATGGTCGAGGTGACTTATCTTAGCGTAGGTGTTAGTAGCATACTAGTATGACTCGACTTTTGGCTGAGATAACTTATCTTAGTTGATGGGTCTGGTCTCATGGTCGAGGTGACTTGTCTTAGCGTAGGTGTCGGTAGCATCATCAAGCTAACTTGTCTTAGTCAAGGAAACCTATAAGAAATATTCTCAAACATGTATGTTGTTAGGTCCAAAATGCACTTCAATGCTTAAATTAGTACTTAGATTGCAACAGTATCAAGTTTAGCGGATAGTATTGTGTACCTCACGAATTTGATAGATCTCATTTATTATACTCTTTCCACATTGCACCATTTATCGAGGTTGTAGCCCGTGGTAGTGGGAAGTAAGAAGATGAGAGACATGTGCTTCAACTCGATTGGTACACAGATTAGTGGGGTCCTCAACAATGTGCCCCCGAACCTTCGAAATCTCAGTCGTGTGCATAACTCACGTGAATAGTCAGCCTTGAACATCTAATCTTTCCCATATAACGCTTGTATTAATGTTGTCTTGTCATAATAATTTTATTATATACTATGTAACGATAATATCATATAATTCATCACTCTAAAATTTTGCCTAATAAAATTTAATATGGTATAAAATTCCAAATCATAATTAAAAAAACGGTATAAGATTTAAGAATGACAATAAATTTTATTCTAATTTTAAAAAGTATTTAATAAATAATAATTATTTTTACTTTTGTGCTTTTTATCAACCCATTATTTACTAAAAATGAATATATTAATTCTTAAATTTAATTGGAATACTTAACATTAAAGTGAGGTTTTTGACACATTATTATTATTTTTTAATTATTTTTTTTTATCTTTGTTAGAATAATAATGATAATAATAATAAAACGCCTATACCCAGCAATAAAATTAAGTATAAAATCTATTAAAATATTAACTTAATTAATTTTAGTATATAAATTCAAAATATGAAGCTTAATTAATATTTTAAAATGAATTATTTTAATTTATTTATTCAGTTTAAAAATAATCAGAAAATAGAAGAAAATCATTAAAAAAAAAAAAAAAAAAAAGATGGATGAGACATGTTTTAGGTAACATGAAAGATCCTTGGGACAAAGGCTAAACAACTGCACGCGTGGACCTCTATCGAAAATTATCCCTTGAAACCGGAGGACTAATGCTTTTGATTAGGTTAGATTCAATGCGGACTATGATTCCAATTTCAATAAGCCCAACGGCCCCTCCCTAAGAGGAAGAGAAAAGAAAGAAGTGTCCACATTCATTCTCCTTTTCCTCTTTATTCTGTCTGTCCGTTCTCTTTTTCTTTATTCTTTTTCGACAGGCTAGTGTTATATACATGAAAATGTAACTGGACTTGAAAGTCTCGGTAAAGCTGCGTGCGGGGATGGATTACCTCTACCTCATCCCCCTCGCTCTCCAACTCTCCGTCTCTTCTCTTTCTCCTCTCCCTATTGGTTGGTTGGTCTTGTTGCTTCGCTCCTTCTCTTTCTCTGATCTTTCTCATTCACCTTTTTCTTCTCGTAACCCTATTGAGTCAGTAAGTCAAATAGTAAGGTCAGTGGTTGAGACTTTCGCTCTTCTAAGTGTTCCAGTTGTCGGAGCGACTCTCAGCGGAAACACAGCATATGTCCAGAAAGTCTACGCTATAATCCCTTCATTTTCTTTCAGGCTTAGGATTAGTAAAAGGGACTGATTTTCTTGAGCTAGGATATATTGAACAAGAAAAGAAACTGCTTTTGTCTCTCAAAAGAGCTCTTATACGGGAAAATTGGAGGATTTTGTAAGACAGATTAGGAAGCTTTTGAAAACGTAGTGCATCCAGGTAAATAAGGAACGAGATGAATACAAAGGTTAAATGAGCATCCCACACCCAAAAGGTGCCCCAAATAGTAGGTCTCCCTCGAAACCCTTCTCCCTCTTCTGTGAAGTTAAGGGACTTGGCTTTTTCTCGTTCTTTCTTCTCCTTTCGTTCTCTTCTTTCTTTTTCTATTTATTCTCAATTCTCCTTTGAGAGATTCTGTAAAAGATTAGAATGGAATTGATCGAGAGTCGCAGCGAGACTGAGAGGAGTACTTCTCGGGATAACATTGCCCAGGTTGAGAAGAAATCATTTAGGTTTCTTCGGAACAAGAAGAATAGGAATTCTTCTCTTCGATGAGAGATAACCCGGGCTTTAGACACTCGCACTATTAGAAAGTTGTCTCCCAAATCACAGTGCCTGCAAACTATATACTACTACGAAATACTAGAAATAGAATATAAGTAATTTGCTGGCACTTTCATCTAGTTAAGAGAGCATTTTATTTTCCTTTTTTAATTATTTAATAGAAAATTATTTTCTTAAATTCAATTCATTTAATTTCTTCAATAAAATCGTATTTAATTGGTAATTATTTTTTGTTTATAAAAACAAAATTAAATATGTTCAAAGAGAATATTAGAAGTTAAACGTAGGTCCGTAAATTTTAATAATAATTAGATAACTCTTCTATTTAAAACTTAAAATTTTCATTATTTAATATTTCGTAATTAAAAAAAAATTGAATAAACAAAATTTAAAAATTTATTATAAATTGAAAATTTTAATATCGCTCCGAAATTTCATATTAACATTTTTTTAGTTTAACTATTAATTTAACCTAAACTTAATTAATTCGTTGGTTCTTTAAATGTATGTATGTATGCATGTATGTATGTATGTATGTATGTATGTATGCATGTATGTATGTATGTGTGTATGTATCCCGCCCTGTGGGATGATTTGGCCCAATAAGGGTTAGGAGTAAGCCCAATAAGGGATAAATGGCCCAATTAGTTCAATGCTCATTGCTTAGTGGGCTTAAATTAAGCCCAATAAGCCCAATCTTTCTTTGTGTCAATTTTAGATATTTATAAATATAAACAATGATTTCAGAAATGTGTAAGTAGACGTGGACAATGCACCAACTCAAATATTATTGTTAAAATATCCATTTCAATCCCTAACCAATTAATGTCTCATAAACTTCCTCTTATTTGATCCTATTTTTCGAAACATTGGTGCCCGTCCTCGTTCTCGTCCTCGTCCACGTCTATAACCTAATTGTTATTTGATTTAACAACACGCTCGTTTTTTCTCGACTAATTAATTATCGAAATAATATTCAACATTAACTCATTCTAAAACGTTCTTTTTTCATGGATTGGGCTGGGATATTGTTTCAACCCAAATAAAATTTTATTAAATAATGAATCAAACTCAATCTAATTGTAACAATCGCACTTTGATGACAGCAGACTTACGATTGTGCGGCATCAGTTCTCAGTAGCAAGTGAGTTAAGTCTATTCATTCTTGCGTTGCCTACGGATATGTGACCCGTATGCTCGAGCCTCTAGCCTCGGTTAAAAAAAAAAAGTTTTAGACAATGGGGACTGAGAGATTTCGAAAGAGAGTTTTGAAAGCAAGAGTTGAGAAATCGAAATTGGTGTTAAATGAGAATGTAAGCAAAAGACAACAACGAGGACTTATTGCATAGGGAGAAGTTAACCTAATTTTTTTGGTTTGGGATGAGCCAGTTTAAGTCATTTATTTAAACTTTTTATTTTTTTAATAAAAGTAAATTACTTTTATTTCCAAACATTACGACTCAATTTTAATATATATTTTCATTAATTTAAACCAAACCCAAATCAAATAAAGTCACAACTCAACCCGAATTGAGTTGAATTGATCGAATTTTTCCAACCATTAGATCATTCATGGTCGTATACTTATATACATACATACAGTTCCTACTTTCAGAAAATATCTCTAAATCTATCTTAAAGGAACGTATTTTTATTTATTGGTAAGAATATTACCGTTCAAGCAATAAAGCAAAGATACGAGCCTACAACAAATTACCGATACAGTTAAAATATATTCAAAAGATCATTGATTGTCGAAACAAATCATCGAACAACTCAAACATTTGATATAATTAAGATGATAACGAGTATAATTTCACCAACTATATAACTAATAATGATGAAAAGAATAAAGGGTTATCATGATTTAGTCTTAAAAAACCCTAAACCAAGCAAAACCAACAGCTCAACTTCTTGATTNTGAACGAACCCCTCTTTTCCCCCTTTCCCTTAAATATCACCTTGGTCAATTAAGGGCACTTTGGTAAATTCATTCTCTTACTAATTCTTTTTTCTAAAAAAAGAAAAAAAAAAAAAAAAAAAAAAAAAAAGTGGTGTCCCTTTAGCCAGCTGTTTGGCAATAGACACCACCAAATGAAACCACCCTGTAAAAACCTTAAATAAATAAATAAATAATTATATAATTTTGGGCTATAAATAGGAATGAACCCACCATCATTGACATGAACCAAAGCAAGAGAAGGGCATTTGAAAGGTTGAAGAATAAAGATCAAAGCTTGAAGCTTTTTGGGTTGGATCATCTTCTTCATCTTCTTCATCTTCTTCATCAATGGAGGCCATGAAGTTTCAAGCTTTGATGTTGGCCATGGTGGTGGGAGCTATGGCGTTGTCATCCACCATTGTTGCAGCTCAAGAAGCTCCAGCTCCAAGCCCTGCTTCGGATGCTCCTCTTTCTCTTCCCACTTTAATGGCTTCTCTTGCTCCTCTTGCTCTTGGATTCTTCCTCTAAATTCTTCCTCTCCTTTTCATATATGTGTTCTAAACCCATGTTGGAAGGAATTTATGACATGGGTTTGTGTTCTTTTTAAGGATTTATTAGGGCTTGGGTTATGAATTCTGAGGAGATGATTGAATTTATAATGTATATTTTTCCACATTAATCTTATCTTATTCTTATTAATCATCTCTCGTCTCGTTTTCCTGTTTGTTCCAATCATATTCAAATCTTCAAATCTTGGCTGGCTTGATTGGTAGATCTACAAATTCAATCGTTACTTCAAATTTTCTTGCTTTTGACATAGTGAGCTCTATTGAGAGGCTCGCACAATGGGCTATTAGCTCAGTGGTAGAGTGTGTGCCCTTGACAATTATGTCGTTGTGTTCAGGCTGTGAGGATCATTAGCGATCTTGAGATGTGGATCATCCCAAGGCCGGAACAAGGATTTAAATTTGTATTTTAATAATTAAATTTTTTGAATATATAGAAATTTCAAAATATGAAAAGAATGGTTGAGACAAAATCAGGACACACCACATGGAGGGGTCAGTGAATGAGCTGTGGCCTTTGCAGGCAAAGCTTCCATCATCGTCAGCTTTCATAGCCAAACATTACCATTCAAATTTGTATTTATTTCATCTTTTAAAACGTTCAAAATTGTTAAATGTTCGATATTTAATATTAAACGTGTTCGTAAGGATTTTTGTGTTACAACCAAAAGAAAATTCATCTTTTCGATTTCGGGTTACAACCAAATCTTATTAAAATCGAGACAGGCTTTTTGTGAATGTTTACTAAATCCACCACTTCAGGTGTGAAAAATTCTCTTATTTTATTTGTAATCAATATGGAAATAACAATAAAAGAAAAGAATAATAAATATCACCCATTTGAACGAAAATGTGAAGCTTGGATCTGAAAAATCGAGAGAAGATGTCAGCAACTTGAAGATAGAAGATACATATTGTGTGCAAAGTTAAAGTTTGTCAGCGATAACAAATTCTCGATAATATAGTTCAACATGTTTGGCCCGCTCGTGAGAAACGGGATTAAAACTAAAAAAAAATAGCACTTTTGTTGTCACACTTTTTAACAAAATAAACGTGATTCAACTCTCGAGATTAAATAATTTTTTTTTTTAATATTTTTGAAGTTGATAATATACATAAAAATGGCCACATTTTCTTTGGATATTTGTCGTGTGATATAGAAAAAATTCAGTATTAATTAATATATTTGAAATCCAATAAGATGTTGCCATTTGGCATTTTGTTTCTCAAACAAAATATCTCTCTCCTTCATTAATGAAATTTGGAAGTTAAGAGTGGAACACAAAAAGGCATCACATGTTGATGCTTACTTGCGCACATGGGGCTGTGACATCCTTGCCCAAATTAATATCATGTCTAAATTATCGATATTAGAAAACGTTGAAATGATTAACACGAATTTAAAAGTTGTATGTCGATATACAAACTTATGATGACCCGTAATTATATAGTTCATTAAATCAATATTCCTGATAGAGAAACTTATGACGATCCCTAATTATAGTTCATTAAATCAATACCCGATGTATACTGTAAAGCTGCTATGAGCTTTCTTCTCGTGAAAGGGTAATCGATATCAATACTTAAATTAATCGCCTAATTCATTTAAATTAATCCAATGGGACTCTTCACTTTAAGATATATGCTAATCCTTACCCACCAAGGCTAAAGTATGGTTTAAATATAAGAGAATGCTACCTATTCCATTGGTGAGTACCCTACCTTGCATGTGCTCATATGCTAAAAGAGTACCCATCAATCTTTCTAAGATAAAAGTATGTTCGGGTTAGCGGATTATTCAAAACTATCATGTATCGAGTCAATCTTTACATAGTCCTTAATTTAAGAACAATTATATTATATGAAAATAACTGCATAGTGTTACGATCATGCTTGTCCAAGGCGTATTGTCTGTGTGTGCATGTAGGATGTACTGGTCACGCTTGTCCAAGACGTGTTGTCCATGACTGCATGCCCGTTCCAAATCCTTTTTATTTGCTTTCATGTTAGATAGGTCTTTACTATTCTTGTTGTGTCAATACGGGCGCGTATGACTAGTCACAAAAATCATTAGTTAAAATACTCTTAAAATGTACTATAGGGGATGTGACTAGTTGTCAATATGCTCTTAGAGCTGATATTGTTGCTTATTTGCTTTTAGCCTATAACATTACTTTCTTTAAAATGTTTTCAATGTATTTCCTCGTTCCCATTTTATAAAACATTTATCTCAAACGTGGTTCGAGACTCAAACATACACTAATATTGTCTGTGCAGTCCAAATTTTACACGACTGACTTGTTCGTTAGATTAGAACAAGTACCGCACAATCATTACTTTGGTGCGAACAATATATATGGATAAATTAATTCCAAAAAGATGTAGAAAAACAAACTCAATGTCGCTTAGCATTCATTATGATTACAAAATCTATAGACATTCTTTTGGTCATAGGTGGAATACCTTTTATTAAATGTTACAACCAAGGATGTCACATGGGGCTGCGGTGCAACAGGCCAGATAAAATTTCGATTCGATTTGATCGCATTGAGTTCTTTCAATCAAATATGTCTCATGTATCTATAAAATTGAAATACAGACATAACTTGCTAACTCGAACGTAACTCAATTGAGATTTCATTCTCACTTTCTAATGCCTACCAACTAAGTATACTAAATGTCACAATCACACTTTTGCGGCAGCCGTATAGCGATTATGCAGCATTTATTCTAACCTAACGAACAAGTTAGCCGTATGAAATTCGGACTTCGTAGACAATATCAATGTATGCTTGAATCTTTGGACACGTTTGTGAGTATTGTTTTTGGAAACGTGAGCGAGAAAATATGTTGAAAGAAATTTTAAAGAAAGTAATGTTATAAGCTAAAAGCGAATAACCAACAACAACGACTTTGATAGCATATAACTTGGGTAGGAAGAATTGACAACTAATCACATACCCTACGTACATTTTGAGGTATTTTAGCCTTGATAAGTGTAGACATGATTTTTGTTAAAAGTCATACACCCCCGTATTTGACGCAACAAGAAATAATAAATAACTATCTAACATGAAAGCAAACAAAATGGTTTTGAACGGGCATGCAACCATGGACAACACGTCCTGGATAAGTATAATTGAGACATTCGACATTCGGTCATAGGTAACACGCCTTGAACAAGCATGACCACCCATTGGTAGGTTGTCCAACGCCAGCTTTCATAAAGCCTGTAGTTTTTGAATGGCGAGCTCTAAGAATTATCCCAGGTTTCCAACCTCAGGGTACCATCAAATTTCACCCTCTCGTGGGAGTTAATGTCCAGTTATTTTAGGACCAACACAATCTTTTCGCATCCCTGAAATGGAAGATGATATTGATGATAGAACTGACGAACTTAAGAATGAGAAGTTCGGGTGGGTACTTGTTTTTAGTTATGTCCTTCCAAATTTCTTAAGGATTCTTTTATGGGTTTGTCCTTGACTTGTTCTTATAATCTGCGCTTCTACCTTTTTGTCCTAAACGTATGCCTTACGACCATGTACATATTCCAACATTTGTTCATTTTGACACTTTTTCTCAATATTCTTTATTGAGATTACAGGTCTTCCTTGGTCATCATTGCATTATCGGTTATCTAAGGGCGAATCACTTTCCTTATACTCAACAAGTCTTGATATAATGAACTTTGTTCCTTGGAGGTTACATGTTAGAGGCTTTCTCTTTTTCCTTCTTGTACAAGGTTTGTTGATCGTTCTTAGCGTCTTAAGTCCTTTCCTTGGTGTTACAAGGTCTTCCTTAATTCTTGTAGCCACTCTTGGCCTTGTAAAGACCGTTTTCCCTTGAGACAATCCTGTTTCTAGAAGTCTATAACCTTAGTTCTATCCTCTTTAAGTCTTTAGGGTTATTACTTGTCCTCGGAGCAGAGCCACCTTAAGTTACAGTAACCCTAAAGTTAATTAAACACTTAAAATCTTTAAACATACTAATTTTGAAGTCTTAAAGGGGTACATATCTAGTCGCGACAGAGTGTCTCTCGAGCATAGTCATAAAGAATCTTTGCTTTGATACCACTATCTGTCAAGACCCAATATTTGGACCCGTTCAAAGTATGTATTGTGATGGGGGTTGACTCATTTGAGTTAAAAAGACGATAAAAATTTTCATGAATACTCATTGGAGTTATCAAAATATAGTTAATACTTTCACATACTTTCACACTCATTGAGGGTGTGACTTGTCTATGCTCGATTCTTGTCCCAAACGTTCACCTATGTTTCTGTATTTGAAGATGGAGCTTACCGAGAGTTCTATCGACTTTTTTTTTTTTAATCTTAGCCGTTGGATCTAAAGATGCACTTATTTATTCCAGCGGACCAATTCTCGACAAAACTACAGCAAATCATATGACAGGGGTATTTTCGTAATTAGGTTGAAATATTTTTGGAGGTATTTTAGTAATGTGTATAGATTTTTCTTGAATTAATGGACTAATTTATTTTATAGGTAAATATGATAACATTTCTGGTATTTACATACTAAACTAAGAAATATGTTGTAATTGCATATAAAATATTAAAATATAAGACGTTAAAAATGTTTGAAGAGGTGAGAATGATAGGTTTCTCAGCTACAACATTCCCACATTGATAGATTTAAAATTGAATGTAATCTTTATAAAGTAGTCATTGTCTTAAGGAAATCATTGAGCTTGGTAATGTGAGTTTGTAACCCATAGGGGGGCAACAAAGTTGTTAGAGGTTCGCTTGGCCCATTGGTTAGGGTTGGCTAGAGCGGTTCTTTGACTCGTCCATTTCAAGTAGAGAGTTGGGTTATAGGCTTTTTAGGTGAAGGCCCAATGTCCATGGCCTTTAGAGAGCAACGTAACCTTTCGCTCTTGTCCACACATTTGAAATGCTATCACTTTTAGAGAAGTTCTATCGCTTTTATACTAGTACTATTTGAAATGCTCCCTCGAGCCCACACATTCTTCAACCCGACACAAGACATTTGTCCAATATGTCTTGCATGTGCACCTTGATTCTTTTAGTTTTATTGATGTGAGATGATACGAGAGCTTTCAAACTAGGGCTTGTACTTGGTTCAAGATCAAAATAGAAACCACCTGCGCTCAAG